CACAGAGGGTCCCATTCAATAGGAACCCAGTGAGACCCACTCCAGGACACAACATAATTAAAATGGCAACTATCAAAGACAAACAAAGAATCCTAAAGAGAGCAAGGGAGAAAGAGGTAGTAACATATAAGGGAGCCCCAGTTTGGCTGGCAGCTGACTTCTCAACAGAAACACTGCAAGCCAGAAGGGAATGGCAGGAAATATTCCAAGTCATGAAAAGAAAAGGCCTGCAACCAAGGCTGCTCTCTCTACCCAGCAACGCTCTCAATTAAAATGAAAGGCAAAATAAAGAGTTACCCAGACAAAAGAAGGCTAAAAGAATACACCTCCACCAAACCAGCATTAGAAAATATGCTGAAGGGACTGCTTTAAGAAGATGAAGGAAAAGAATCTAACAATATCCAGTTCCTTTCACAATCACCAATATGTGGTATTACCAATATTTTTAATACTTATTAATCTGATCGTGACAATGATGTGCTATTTTGTTATTTTATTATTTGTCGAAACTAAACCTGTTTTTGTATATTTCTAGCTTATTTCTATTATTTTTAAAAAGCTTTAAATGACTTTTTAATATTCTCTATCCATTTTTTGATTAAATGTTTGCAGAATGTTTTCCCTAAAAACAAAAATTAACCCTTTTCTAGATGTGTTGCAAATATTTTCCTATTCTATTACTTTCCTTTAACTTTTTATATGTATATTATTGTATAGTATTAAATGTTTCATGTAATCATATTCTCAAAATTTTACTTTATATTTTGAATATTTTACTTCAGGTTAAGAAAAATATTATTTTGTGTTTTCTCCTAAAACTCCTTAGATTTAACATATTGATTTTTAACTCACCTATTTTTTGTATAATGTGTGAAATATGGCTCTATATTTGTTTTATTTCAAGTAATAGTGGTCCATGCACCTTATTTTTTAATAAGCCTTATTTTACTCATTGATTTGAAATATCGATTGAATCATACGCCACATTATGATTAGACAGATATATACATTTGTTTCTAGAATGCTCATTTTATTTCATTGATCTACTTGATTATTTCTGTGCTGGCATCATGTTGTTTTAATTGCTGAGACTTTATAATAGATTGAATTTTTTTAATATTTTATAATGGATTTTGACATTTAAAAAAATAAATAAATAAAGTCAATCTGCATTTAAAAATAAAGAAAGAACTGCCTTTTGCGACAACATGGATGGAACTGGAGAATATTATGCTAAATGAAATAAGCCAGTCGGTGAAAGACTAGTACCATATGATCTCACCTATAAGTGGAATCTATTCAACAAAATAAACTAACGAACAAAATAAACCACAGGCATGGAAACATGGAACAGACTGAAAGATACCAGAGGGGATGGGGAAGCAGGACAATGGTGGAAAGAAGGAGAAGGGACTAAACAAGTATGGACGTGGACAAGAGAGTAGGAATTGACTATGGGAGCAGGAGGTGGGGTGCGATGGGTGGAGGAGAGCAAAGGGGGAAAATTTGAAACAACTGTAATAGAATAAACATGATTTAAAAATAAAAAATTTTAAAAAAAGAGGTATACTGTGTCCATATGTCAAAAGACTCAATATTTAAGATGTCGATTTCCCCCCCAAATTAATGTATAGATTTAATAAAAGTCCAATTAAAATCTAAGCAGGTCTTCAGTTTGAAATGGACAGAATGACTGTAAAATTAACATGGAAATGTAACTGACCTACCATAACCAAAACAACTTTTAAAAAGAACAGAGTTGAAGGACTTACATTACTTGAGTTTAATACTTATTACATAACAATAGTCATGAAGTCTATGTGATATTGGCATTAAAATAGACAAAAAGCTCCATAGAAGAGAATAAAACAACCAAAAATAAGCCCACATATACACATGGTAAATCGATTTGATAAAGGTGCAAAGGCAATTTAATGGGCAAAGGACAGGCTTTTCAGCAAATGATGCTGGAACAATTGATATGCAAACAAACAAACATTGTTCCACATCTGGTGCCACAGATTAATTTAACTTAAAATGAGTCATGGATTTAATGTAAAACCGAAAAACAATAAAGCTTCTTAAAACAATAGGTGAAAATATTTGAGACCTCAGTCTAGGCATGATTTCTCAGATATAACACCAAAACCATCATCTATAAAAGAATAATCTGACAAAATAGACATCATCAAAATTACAAATTGATAAATTAGACTTTATCAAAATTAACAGCTCTGATTTTCAAAAGATGGTTAAGAAAATGAAAAGACTCAGCTGTGACACAGGATTTATAATGAGAATATATAAGAAGCCTGAAATTATTAGTCATTAGGGAAATACACATTAAAACCGCGTAACAGGATTCCACATTAGAATGGCTAAAATTAAAAAGTGACGACAGAGTGTAGCGGCAACTTAGAGTTTCACCCACTGCTAAGGAGAATGTACAATGGCACCATCGCTTTGAAATACAGGTGACTGTTTCTTAAAAAGTTAAACATACAATTCACACGTGAACTATTTATTCCACTTCCAGGTATTTAACGAAGAGAAATGAAAGCACATGTCCGTGTATACAAACAATCATAGCAGCTTCACTTGTAGTAGCCAAAAAGCAACAAATAATTCAAATATCTATCAACAGGTAAATGGAAAAACAAAGCATAATAGTAGTAACCCAATGAAATACTACTCAGTAAAAAAGGAATGAACCACATATGTACATATAACATGGATGAATCTCAAGACGATTGAGTAAAAGCCATCACACAAGAAAATATACATATTATATGACCCCCTAGATGAAATTCTAAAAAATCTTAATCTATGGTGACAGAAAGTAGATCACTGGTTGCTTTGGGGGAGGGGTGGTACTAGGGAGGGAGGGCTTACCAAGGGACACAAGAAATCTTTGGGGGTATTAGAAATATTCTTCATCTTAATTGTGATGATGATTTCATGGATATATACTTATGTCAAAAATTATCAAATTAGACACTTTAAATATGTAGTTTATTGTATGTCAATAAAGCTGTTCAAAAATACCCCCATTAAGAATGCCTGCTTTTCCCCATGGAACCTTGACTACCACATTCTTTCTTCATCCCCTACAGTCAATCAGTGATTAATTCCTAACCATTCTGTTCTCCTAATCCCTCTCCATTTCATAACAATTACCCTAACTCATTTCTCACCTGTATCATAATAGTCTTTCTCCAGCCTTCATCCTGCAGCCAGTATTAATTTTCCAAAACACGGGAGATACATTTCAAATTCTCTTAACATGATTCACCCACCCACCCTCCTTTGTGGTGATTTCCACCTCACGTCTCCTGATGAGCCATGCTAATCAACAGGCAATATAGTTTTGCACAAACCCTTTCCAAGTCAAATAAACCCAAATCCTTTCCCACTCCACTCATAGCGAGGCTTTATAACTCAGCTTGGTTATTATCTCCTATGGGAAGCTTTCCCCAAAGCCCCATATTGGACCATTTGCCCTTCTCTCAACCCCTGAGCATCTTCTGCATAACCTGTCACAATACTAATCTCACTATGATATAAACTCCCTCATCAGACTAGATAGAAGTTGACTGGATGAAAGCTTCAAAGCAAAGACTAAGTCTCAGTTGTCTTTATTTTCCCAGTACCTATCACACATGCCACAAGGGTAGTCAACAAATGAAAGAACTGAAGCACTGGTCTGGATGACCTCCTCCTTTCCTCTTTCACAACCTGGGTTGATTCTATATCCCATCTTATAAAAAGGTGGGCAGTTGAGGGGTTAGGGTTAAATGATCTCTGTAGTACATTCTGATAAAATAATTATATCAAGTCCCCTGGGAAGAGGGGTGTTGCCCCCACCCTGGCTGAGAGTGTAAGAGCAGGGTTCATTACCTCAAACTGTTTTCAAAACCAGCTGGTAACTGTGATTTGAACTAAGAGAAAGGTTAGGGAAAAGGAACAAGATTCTAGGAAAATATGAGGCCCACAGCAAAGATTAAGATTGCCTCTAAGAAAGCCCCGTGTCCTCCCAGTTAATTTAATCTAGAGACACAGATCTCCACCTCCAGGTTATTCCCTTCTCCAAATATACATGTTTGACATCCAAATCCAGCCATGGAGGCTCCCAACCTTTCTACCCGCCGGGGATCAATCTCCAGGCCCTTCTCAACCTCTCTGGTCTGTTTCCTCCAATCATCTTTAATAAAGAGTCCTCTGGGCTCCTACTAGGAGGAGGTTCTCCTCAGCCAGTCCCTCCCAAAGCCAGCCATGGCCATCAGGTCAAGAGCCAAGCAGAGGGCCTCATTAACAGGAGACTCCCAGAAGACTAAGAGGCAAGTTATAAGGCTGGAAAATCCAGGTGGCAATTTCAAAAGTAAAAAATCAGGATATACACAAGGTGGTTTATGGGAATGTAAGGCAAAGCAAGCAAAACAAAGCAAAACTCTTCCGTCTAAATAACAGCCACATACTAAGAGAAGATTTGCAGTTCAAAAGCATAATCGCTTCCTCCATCCTGAACTCTCATTTTTCAAATGAACCAAATGATGATGGCTCTTCCATTTCTTGGTAATGGCTGGCCCTTTAATTTAGAGACAAAATTAGTTAAGACAGGAGAAGAGCTTTAATGAGAAATAACCAATGATTAAGTAAATTCATCATTTTGCATCGTGTTGATCCCTTAAAAGAAGGGAAATTAATAAAAATGGAACGATTTCCCCCTGGGCTTTCCTACCCGGGATAACTGTAACCAAAGAGTATTATACCATCTAAACTAAACTGCACCTCAAACATCGTAAGTTGTTGAAAGCATTTAGAGTTACAAGCAGTGCAGGCCTTAAAATACCTTAGGTAGCCAGATTTTAATTCAAAGGCTCAAAAATGCCAGGGAAAATATTCTAAAAGTCGGGAAGATGGGGGTTAAGAGATGGGGCAGGGTTAGGGTGGAGTGGGGTGGGGTGGGGAAGTGAGTTAACTGGGCAGTGATGGCAGGAGACCTCGGATTCCAGACATCTCAAACGCAGCCTTGGGGATGCAGTAAAGACCGACTCTCCCGTAGGGTGGTCGGACACCTCACCCGGGAGACAACACTGGGAACTCAATAACGTCTCCGGAACCCAGGCCCGGCGGGAATGAGACTTAATCAGCCAGCCCAGGAACAGGAAGAGGCGGCGGCGACCGCAGAAAAAAGGAGGCAGCCTTAGGCCGGTGCGCTCTCCGATTGGCTAACGTGCGCGCTGCGCGTCTGCAAAAGCCCCTGATGCACACGTGGGAATAAGAGGAGGGTCACTTACTTGTCCAATCTGAAATTACATTTCAGCTAGCAGGCTCTGCAGGTGGCCGCGCGGAGCCGCACCGCAAAGGGACTGGGCGGTCCCAGTTGGAGGCTGAGGCCCCGCCCCGCACCAGACCCCGCCCCCGGCCAGCCGCGGCCCCTGTAAAATGCGCCCGGATTGGTCTTTTGAACCCGGCCCGGGATTGGCCCGTGCCGGTCCGCTGTCGCCTTGAACCCTGTCCAGCTAGTAGGTGGTGCGGAGCACAACCTCGCTTGGGTAACTCCTCGCCCACTGTACGTTTAAAGGCATCGATGGGGCTTTGTCTGCTCCAGCTGAGAATTTCCCGTTCTGGGGGCTCATTTCACGGTACTCACCTACACAAACTTATCTTTAACCACCATTTACTGAACACCAGGACTGTTGTGGGCGAGTGTGGAAAAAATAATTTAAAAATGTTCTTTGAATGCTTACTTTGTGCCAGGTGTTGTTCCTGATACTGGACAGAATTTACTCATCCTGTGGCCAGCCCTCTGAAGTGGGATCACAATCTCTAAATCTACAAAGCAGATAGGTCCCTGCTTTGAAGAAGTTACAACCTGTGGGTCATGGACACACCTACCTAATTTTATCCTCACAATCCTTGCCTTTATAATAATCTAGATACTATTTGTCACTATCTTAGAGACGCACAAGGTCAGAAACGCGTTCAGCCTGTCCAGAGACACACAGCTAGCTCTTAACCAGAGGGAGAATTCCAACCTGACCTCCTATATGAGCTGTTTCCTTTTGAAAAGCAGGTTCCCAGTTGATGAGATTCAAGATAAGGAAGATAGTTTAGCAAATGGCTGAATCCAAGCCCTTTGTTTTCCGAGAAAAGTTAACTGGTGTCCAGTAAATGAAGTGCCTTTCCAAGGACACGCCAGGTATGAGAAGTCCATTTAATGACAGTGATTTTAATGACCTGGCCTGTGTGCTGTGTGCGTTATAGTCACTGCCTGCTATCCTCACAGCAAACCCAGAAGTCAACAGATACTCTTGTCTTTGTTTTACAAGTGAGGGTACTGGCTCAATGAAGCAGAGCCAGGTGATTGGTTGCTAGGGGTCCTGGTTTGGGATCATTTTCTTTCTTACATGCAACGATTCTTTGCCTTCCATTTTCAACAAGTATCTGAAGATCTAATCTTTGGGAAGATAAGAGGTACTGGAATCTGGCTACTTAGCACCTATGTGAATCATAGCATACAGTAGAAATAATAATATTAAGACCTCTTCATCTTACCTTTCCAGAGTATTGTTAAGAGAAAATAAAGTAATAAATATGAATTATGCTTTGTAAAGTGTTAGATTATGAATACAGGTAAAACATGGCTTCCTCATCTTCCTCAGTATACCCCCAGGAATGGAATAAATGAAATATACTGTTTGCCTCAATGGCAGGAGGTCTCACATTGGCTAGATTTGAATTAATTACAGTTTGCTGCCTGGTCTTTATTGAGGTCTCTGTTTCTAGGCTTTTTGTATTTGATTATTGGTGTGTTTCCTCTAATTATCATACTATCATTAGTAGTAATGGCAATAACTGCACAGTGGCCAGAAAGCCAGCAGCCATATTGGACCATGAAAGGACCTGAAAAATGAAAGGCACACCCAGGAAATCAAGGAGATGGAAGGATTTGGATTTCTCACACCATTCAACATTAGACCAGCAACCACTAGCAACTTCCATGCTGTCTTGTGCGAGACACTTGTATTTTGTGCTTTCTGTCACATGGGGCCAAACCTCATCATAATACATATACCTTACCTCATGATAATCCTACAGCAACTCTACAAGGTGATAGGTGCAGAAACAAGACCAGAGAATATAAACAAGTGGTTCAAGGTCATCCAGCTAAGTGACAAAGATGAAATTCTGAAGCCAATTCTCATTCCCTTCTTCAATTAAGGCTCACTGTGTATGATGAATGAAACATTCCACTTATTTATTCTATGGGTGGCAGACTTTTTTTTTTTATAAAGGACCAAGCAGTAAAGATGTAAGCTTTGTGAATCATACAATTTCTGTTGCAGCTATTTAACTTTGCTTTTATACTGCAGAAACAACCATAGATAAGAGAAAATGAATGGGTCTGGCTATGTTTCGATAACACTTTTTTTTTTTTTTTTTACAAAAGCATGCAATGGGTCAATGTGGCCCACAGACCTTAGCTTGTTTACCCTTGATTTATTCAGTTGTGATATTCCATCACAAAACTGCATTGGAAATACATTATAGAAGGCAGAGGGATTGTGGCAATGCAGGCATGCCCACGCTGTTGACCAATATAAAGGCCAGTTCATGACAGTGCAGTCTAAGAGAAAGATCCCTAAACTGATAGTCATGAGACCTGGGCAGTGAGTTCATATCTACAGCTGAAACCAGCTCCATATCCTGGACTGTCCCCAGTTGCCTCCATTTCCTTATATATTAGAAACAAATAACAATGCAAATATTATCCATATTTTCTTGTTTTTTATGGCTGCAGGGGGACTAAGATAAGATTACATATGTAATCACATTTCTGAAAGCTGTAAATGTTATCTAACTGTATTTACATTGCCTCACCTAGGGACTGTAGAGCCTCCACTGTACCCTTCAGTTCTCTCTGCTTATCTCTGTCATGGATCTCATAGAATGCATGCATCAAATGCCTAGTAATTATTAGTATATCTGTTTCTCCCCTTCCCTCCTCCCCACTCTGCAAAAAGGGTTATTGTGTTGCACTAGATTAGAAGACTTTATCATTGAGAAGTCTAGACATTCACTCAGGGTTACTGCCAGGCAGCCTGGGATCATGCAGAGTCATTTTCCACTTGGCACATCGCAAGTCACACTAGTGAAGCAGCACATTAGATTTAAGCAAGACAGAAAAAGCTGGGTTGTGAAACCCTGGAACGAGCTGAACTGCAAGTTTGTGTAATTTTCTTCCCGCTCAGAGACAATTATGTGCAACAACAGGAGGCAGACGGGAGATCTGATACTCTCTCTGATGACCTGTGGAGGCCCTGTGATTCTCTAACTACATTCTCTGAAGGCTTTCCCTGCTTTAGCAGCCTGCCCTCTCACCAGAGAAAAGACGTAATTTCCCTGAGATTCTTGGAGTCATGGCACAGAAATAGATATAATTATTCGTTTATTCATGAGTTCATTTATTCATTTGTACATTTATGTGTTCATTCATTTAACAAAGACTTACTGAGTGCCTACTGTTCTAGACACTAAAGAGACGGTGTTGAGAAGAACAGAATTGTTTCTGTCCTCATGGAATTTACAGTCATAAAATAGACATTCAATAAATAAGCACACAGATATAAAAGTGATTCAGTTGCAAGCAGAAAGGAAAATAGGATGCTATGAGAGAGGAAATAGGATACTACATGCCTTAGATCGAGGACTAATTCGATCAGCAATTTTGTGGAAACAGTTTCCCTGAATACATTGTTTTGCGTCTTCAACAGTGCTGCTAGGTGGCTATGATCACAATCATTGTACAGATAGGAAAACTGAGGCTTAGTTAGGGAGATTGGGTGCCTGACCTGCTGCTGCACTATCAGTCAGTTTGGAGCGTGCCGTGCTTTCTCCAGCACTCCACACTGCATAACACAAACCCAGAGGGTGAGAATTTTTCCACCCCCCACCTTTGCTCATAATTTGACTCTTCCCACCTGAAAAGCCTCTCCCTCCATCTTCCTCTTACGGGATTTCTATTCTGCCTTCAGTATCTATTTGAGGACCTACTCCCTCTGCAATCTGAGGTCTCCATACATCTCTTTTCTCCTGGCCTCCTGCAGCAGTCATTCTCCATTACTTGTATGGCACCGACCCTGGGAACCCTTGTAAAGTTAATTCTCTTCGACATGCTTGCCCCGATGCCTTTTCTCATAGCCTTGAGAGCCGCACACGGCCCTGAGAACCAGGTAAACCTGTCTTTTTCTCCCAGGTCTACGTGTTTGCTGGGTGACCTGGAAAAAGTTTCTTACCCTCTCTACACTTTAGTTTCCTTGGAGAATAATGTTTCTTTCTTGAGATGCATCTTAAAACATTTGTGCCAGTGCTAAATAGATAGTTTGTGCTCCATACTCCTTAGTCTTTTACCCGATTCCAGTCCCCGTATTGGACACTTCTGCAGGACAAGAAGTATGACTTTTACTTTACAATCTCAGCAGCTAACACAGTGCTCTGTGTAACAGCAGGTATATAATTGGTAGGTATACATTTATGGTGGTGACAGCCCTTACCTGTCCACTGGGTCCCTCACTATTAATCTAACTTTTCTCCTGTCTCTGTCCCTTTCTTTCTCAACTCAGATTCCTTTAAGCCTCCCTAAACTTGATCCTCTGGCAGGAACAGGTGCCACTGCATGCACACTTGAAGTCTTCCAAATCCACACTGTCATCTCAGAAGGAAAGTAACTGAACTAGTTCACTGGACACCCAACAGGTGGTCAGTAAGGGTAAAACACTGCCTAGAAGGGTCTGCTGAGCTCCCCCACCCTAACTGGCACCTAGAGCCATATTTTATACACAAAATAATTTATTTGCTCAACACTCATCTCTAAGGGGTGCCAGTAGCTCATTTCCAAAGATGGGAAAATGTTCCAATTTACTTTATTACTTACCTGCTATTTCCTGCTTGTCCTTTATCTACCTGCCTGCCTGCCTTCATCTCTTTACTCAATTGAATCCTGAGTATTTGCTAAGGGCTAAGTCAGAGCTAGATGCTCTACCACAAGTACAGGTGAAAGTGCTATGGGCACCCCAAGGCTGGTGAGAAGAAGAGGGGGGAT